TCTCAACAAGACCATTACACATAGGGTGGTACGGGGTGGTCGTCAATTGCCGCATACTGAGCAGTCTTGATACTTCTTTCATCACATCTGACGTAAACTGCGTTCCCTGATCTGTGAGGATTTCCTGTGAACACCTACACGACTGTACATACTAACGAGTGCTTCTGCTACACTTTCGGTAGTGATCTTCTTCAAGGGAATTGCTTCAGGATATCTAGTGGCATAATCTACTAGTGTTAGTACATAACGGAACCCCCCTTCTGACGGTGGGTCAATAGGACCGATAATATCAACAGCTACTCTCTTAAATGGCTCATCAATAATTGGCATCTTCTCTAAGGGTACTTTATGTACAGTTCCTTTGTACACCGTCTTTTGACAAATATCGCATGACTTGCAAAAATCAGACACATCACGATTCAATCCTGGCCAATAGAAGTTAGTGATTATTCTCTCCTTAGTTTTCTTTACGCCTAAGTGACCGCCAAACAATGAGTCATGGGACAGACTTATAACACGTTGGCGCAGGGGCATGGGTACTACTACTTGACGAACCTGATAACCTTGTGAATCGTTATAAATTCTATACAAGATACCTTCTTTTTCTTCAAATTTCTGCACGCCATCCTTCCGATCTTCACTCTGTCTGAAATTGTCCAACGACTTGTCTTCGCGTTGAAGACTGATTGACCGCTATACAGTGTAGGTATACCATCAGACAGCAACAAGAAATTACCACCGGAAATTAAGTCCTCTACATAAAGTCTTATCTGCTTGTGTTGGCGTACTGGAGCTGTACTCTGTATAGTGCAGGACGGAGGAGACACCATCATTATACCGGCCCTTAACAAATGCAAGATTGAGAAAGTAGCTTAATATATAACTGCAGAGGGATATCCCTCAGTATTTATAATCTTCAGAAGAAGTTTGCAGAAACTCAGCTTCTTCACCGAAAGGTCAAAAGCATGCTCGAACTTATGCTTCCATCAAGTCTAGGAACACATCCCCAGAGACTTCCCAGCTGGCATCGGTTTCAGAAGGAGCTTTGGACAGCCAAAGCTGCAAGTCTGTAAGTGAAACACGAAGATACACGGAATCAACCAAGATTCCTTTGAAGACATTGCACCCAATTGCACGAAGTGGTAAAACCCAAAAAGACAAAAGATAGGGTAGGATATAAGACGACGGCTGATTAGTGTATCTGCAGACAAGTGGGCTCGCAGAAAGAAGATGGAGAGCAACAACACATATATACCACTCACAAATACAACCTGAGCTATAGACACTTCCACAACTAATCRGTCTCTATAACTGTCGGTGATGCGAAGCAGAAGAGATAATTTAAGAAGGTTGAGAACTTTCATTTGAGACAGTCCCTTAGTCCATCCTTATTCCGGTGCAGGAGGAATGAGGTGGTAATTTTCAGTCAACTTGAAGATATCAAGTTCCAAACAGTGGCATTCTTCGTTTGTTCATAATAATCAAATTTTAACATGCTCAATCGACCCTATTATGAACATTCGGGAGGGGGAAAAAGCGAAGGAAATACATATAACAGAAATATATTGATTTATTGCATCTCCATCAAGGTGTTAAGTTTTCATAATTTTAAATACATGAAGCACTGTTTGTTGTTCTCCAATTCCCGAAYGGCTTTCCGAAACAAAAGCTATTCAAATTGTCTTTGTCAGGTATTTATGCCATTCCGTAATGAGCCTAATTCCTAAGTTTTATAAGTAGAGTGCTTACAGTATGTCCATGAAATAAAATCTATTTAGTTATTATCTAATAGTTCTTATTTAGTTACTATTAGTCACTATCACTTAACTGGAACAGCTTAACTTTCTTTTGTTTGAATGCTCAAGAAAATAGAAAGTTAAGCTGTTCCAATTGAATGATAGTATCTAATAGTCACTAAATAAAAAATATTATTTAGAAACTATTTAGATTTTGTTTCATGGACATAATGTAAGCACTCTATGTTGTCTTCCGAGGAATCCATCAGAAACTCGGTGGTGTAATGGTATAGTCCCTTTTTCCTCCGCGACGAGCCGTTCAACGGAGCGGGTCAAAAAGGGGTGACCTACGTAGCACGCAGTTGACGTAATGTATTCATAAAATGTATTGTATTCCATTGTTTCTCGTTCTATTGTATTATGTGTTTTGTATCATATCTTTATGAATATATTACATCAACTGAGTGCTACGTAGGCTCTCCCGGGTCAAAAAAGGGTCTGGGACTGGACTAGGACGGTTCGGGGTCGTTTCGTGATGGAGGCAGTCATGTATCAAAGGCCCTTTTTCACTAAATTAATTCTATATTAAATTGATTATTTCTAATACTTTGATTATTATTAGCTANATGTGACCTATATGACCTATCAGATATTTTGAATAATATAGACGCTCTTGAGCGTAAAGTCGAGCTAGTTATTTTGGAAAACTGAGAAAAAAGACATGGTATCCAAAGAATTTACTTAGAGTTCAGTTCGGTAAAAAATTATGATGTAATAAATTGATAACATATTAACTTAATTCTGTCTTGACTTATTACAAACAAAGACTATCTTGTGAAAATGAAACACCATTGTCACAGGAAGCCCACGTAAGCGATCCATGATCGTCTAGTTTAGTTAAAAACAGCAGTTCAAAGTCAAGCAATAGTGTCAAATGAAATAATCAACAGAATCGGTGAAATTACCTTCGCCAGTTAAAGAAGACTTGTCAAATCCTTGTCAAATGAAATTTCGCCCGGACAGCACTCTTCAAACATCTCCTTTTCAGCAAAGTTCTTCGTCAAGTGATCTCAATAAAATGCACATATGAAATGCCAATATTCTCTTTTATAGTCAATAGCATCGTGAATATGAAAAAACTCACAAGCGTTTCAATGGTGTTTTCCGATACAATGGAATTAMAYWGCAGCATDTAATTTGAAGTACAAAGCGTAGAGATTGTTATACTTACTTGAAGCCAATTAGATTTCCGAATTATGGTTTTCATTTTATGTAAACGTTATAATGGTACAATGGGTTGAGTGTCTAAACGTCAGGCAGCCTGACGTTTAGTCCCAGGACTAGGCGTCAGGCAGTCGAATTTTTCAATCGTCAAAATCGTCAAATCGTCAAAACGTCAAAACGTCAAAACGTCAGGCAGTCGAATTTTGTTTCGAAAAATCGTCGGAACAACCGTAATTTCAATTAATACAACAAGGGAAATGCAATAAAGATCAAAATAATACTGTTCGACAAGTTTGCAAAGTGCCGCGTGTTTGCGTATACAAACTTGTCGAACAGTGTTATTTCGATCTTTTTTGCATTTCCCTTGTTGTATAATTGAAATTACGGTTGTTCCGACGATTTTTCACAAAAAAAACACGACTGCATGACGTTTAGTTCTGGGACTAAACGTCAGGCAGTCTAAAAATCTCAAAATGCCGTGCTTGTGTTTGAAACTTGTCGAACAATATTATTTCGGTCTTTATTGCATTTCTCCCTTTGTATTAATTGAAATTACGGTTGTTTCGACGATTTTTAAAGAAAAAATTCGACTGCCTGACGTTTAGACACTCCGTTTTAGAAAACCGCTCAAAACTAAAACCATTAATTAAATAGCCTGTTATTGTAAAACATGAACAACACCTTTTTGAAAGGCACGGTTCCGTTTCTTCGAAAACAATGAGAGTATATATTAAATGGGATAATGGCCTCTCTCCTCGGCTCCTCGGAGCTCATCAATCATCCTATACACATGTTACTCAATAAAATGTTTTTTTTTAACAATTATCACAGAATTTCACAGACATCAGGTTTTTCTCTGCCWCTTATTGGTTTCTGGTTTTGACTCTAATGTTTTTTTACAATGGAGTTTTTCCCTTTGTTTCTGATGC